TTATATAGATCTTAGGTTGATTCAACTAATCAACAAGTATAGATATTAAAGATAGTGGATATTTTTTTTTGATAGTGATCTTATTGAATCCTTGATAATTAATACACATCCGCAATGATATATCTTTTTTCTTTACAAATAAAATTGGAGCTCGTGCTGGAAATTTGGAATGGTATATGAAATTCTTAGCTAAATTCTCTTCAATATACTCATTGAGTTTAGCCAATTCATTTTTTGATAAATTATAGATTGATCCAAATGGTGGTTGTACTTCTCCTTAAAGGTCAATTGAGCAGTCATAGGAACAATGCTTTGACTATGACTTCTACGTGATCAAGTTTAGTTTTCCTTAGTAAAGATATGTTAAGTCTTTTAGCAATTTTTTCATCTAAAAAATATGTTGAGGCTCCTAAATCTAACAAGATAAAGGCTTTGTAATATATAGATTCTAAAATAATATTTAATATAAAATAAGGAGAAGGTTCTAAAGAGAGAATAAGACTTTCATTAGGTATTGTACAAGGTTCCAACCGCATGGTTCCTATTATAGTTGGACAAACTTGTTTTTTGATATATTGTCTTCTTTGACATTTATACTCCTCATTTTATAATTTCATCATTTATTTAAAATTTTTTAAGAAATGTGCTTAGATTCTCCATAATATAAGCACAATCTTTTTAAATGACAACAAATCTTTACTTGTTTAATAAGAGATTTGAAACGTATTGTATCAATTTGCATATCCTCTACTTTTGAATATATGTGTTGAGGAGGCGTTGGTGTTGCCATTGAATTATAATAATGTTGAGGAGGCGTTGGTGTTGCCATTGAATTATAATAATGTTGAGGAGGCATTGGTGTTGCCATTGAATTATAATAATGTTGAGGCCCACTTGTCTGACTTTCAAATTGAAATTCAAAAAGTCAATTAGTACACTTCACAACAAAGTCAATTGCTTAACTCAATGTTTGAAGATCAAATAAGTTGAGTATGAATTTCTTTACTTCATCTTGTAATCTATATAAAAATTGGCTAATAAATGCAATATCATTCCACTTGATATCAATTGCAAGTTGTCCAAATTGTAAAACATATAATATTATGGATTGATTGTCCTATCGTAAAATATGGATCTTGTTGGTTGCAACACAAGTTGCATTATGTTCTGCATACATAGATAGAAATTCCACTAAAAAAGCCTCCAAATTATGTAATATTAGATCTCATTGTTCAAGAAAAGATGAAAAACCTCGATAATGCTAAACTTGAAAGAAGTATACCAACGAATCTAATTTGTGATTCTAGAGTTGGATAGCTTTGGAATTGAAGTTCACTCACAAGTTGTACTTGATTGATAAATCTTCAAAACTTGGATTTTTTGCCATTAAACTTCTCAAGTAAGACAACTTTTGGTTTTGTAGTATCAAAAGGATGTTCCACCATAAAAAAAGGGACATGATTGGGTGCAGATGTTGAAGTAGCTTCAATCATATCTATATCTTCACTTCTTGCCATTCTTGTTGTTATTTGTAGTAGTAAACTAACTTAATGCATTGCAAGCATTAACTTCCTTAATTATACTTGCATTTGTGCCATTGCATTCTTCATTTTAACAAGCTCTGCCATGATAATACTTAGAAAATAAATATCTAATATTGCTTAAGATAAGTAGAAGAGGGGACTTGAGAATAAAGAAGATATTAAGAATAATATTAGTTTAAAAGAGGATAATCTACAACTTCTAATATGCTTATGTCTTATTAAAAAAAAAAAGGTAATCCACTCTTAATCCAGAAAAGACAAAGCTCTAATATTATAAGTGTACTCTTGTCAATCTGTCTAGGACATGAATTGGAAGAAGATACATAAATTTAGAAAATCCATATTAAAAGAAAAATGACAAAATAATAATAAAATAATATGTATATTAAAAAAAAACTGGAATGGCTATTGCCAAACGATAAGGAAACTAGAGACACTTAAATCTAGACTAAAAGCAAGAAAAGAATTGACGAGAGTGAAGTGGGCTTCATTCTTACTTATATATATATTATCTAACTAGGAGCTACGTGGCAATGTTCTATAAAACCTCTAATATGTATTGACTTTACAAGACACATGCCTTAACTTACAAGACAAGTTTTCTACCTGTAGACCACATAGTTAGCTTGTTCTTCAAGCTACCAACATGTGTAGGACATGGCCAACTTGTTGACCATGTGTCTAACCTAAAAAGTCAATTAAAGACACCTATAAAGTCAAAGCAGCATTTACAAAGCTTCTAAGAAGCTTCTATAGAAGATATTATGGAATTGATCTATTTTACCTACTTTTATCTAATCATATAGGTAATTATTAGTTTACATGTGTATATCTATGATAATAGATTATAATTTTTTATTTGATAATTAAATTTTAAATGAATAATTTTAAAATATAAAATTTATTATTAAAAATAATAAATTTAAAGTAATAAGCTTATATAGCATACAAATAACTTGATGGTTTAATTGTAATTTATATATATATTTAAAATAATTACTTATAAAGGTGATTAAACTTTTTAAAGATAGTAAAGATGAATTTAAAAGAAAATAATAAAAAAAAATTCCATATATATATATATATATATATATATTATAAAATTAGAAAATTAGAAAAATAAATAAAAGAATAAATAAATAAATATCAAAATATTACATTAAATAAAGAATTGAAATCATCACAACATTGAATATTAAATAAGAAGGTTTTAATTTTAGTAATGTAGAAGTTATAGAATTATGATTTTTTATAAAAAAATATTAATTATATATATATATATATATATATATATACATCACTAAACATCACTTAATCAAACCACCTATCATCATTGGTTACAGATCCAACTATCTTTTTATTGATTAACAACCAATGTAAATCCAACAATGGAATTTTTTTGATAATGATTGGAAAAAATGGATTGGTTTAATAATTTTATATATTAATTTTATTATATATATATATATATATATATATATATATAGATATAATACTAATATTTATCTAAAGAATTATTGAGGCTATTTTTCAATTAATATTACTTCTATGCTTAAACCATGTTGAATAATCTTAATATTTATCCAAAAATAGAATAAATAAAAAATAATTCTTTTTTGTAGTAATAATATATATATATATATATATATATATAAATAATTATTTTGAATTAAAAAAATTAAGGAAAATATTTTATTTTTTAAAAATACAGATCTTAATTTTTTTTTTTTATAAAGTATTCACTTTCTCCCTTTTCACCACAATCCTTCTGTAAAGCAAAGAAAGGAAAAAAAATGCACAAAAAAAGAAACATATTATTAGCTAGTTGTCTATAAAGAGGTTACTTGGTATGTAGCAATATCAATTAGGGATGTAGCATTTAAAATATATTATATATATATATTCAATTTTAAATACAAAATATAAAGATTATTAAAAACGATGAAAAGGTTTTTAATTTAAAAAAAACCAATGATTCTACATCCATGGATAATCTTGCTTTAACAAATTGTACGAGAGGATAATGGAGTGGGTCACAAGTACATCACACAATGAGAAGTAAAAATTTACATTCATAAAGTTAGAGCACAAATCACATTTGTGATAAAAATCATATATACACACATACAAGCACACATCAAGTTAGTCAGAAATGAATTGAATCTTTAGTACGTACTTTTTTCTTGTTTAAAATCCAGTTGGAATCCTTCAAAGCTATTGTTCTTACAAGTCTTTCTGAAAAAGCTCCAGCATCTAACTAGATTCATGAAGTTTTACCAGCTTCCTCAGCTTGCTGAGAGTGAGTCTTCACAATAAAAGCTTCAACTAACCTCCTCGAATGCCATTCACACAATAGGGTTTGCAGGATGATGCCTGAAACCGAGCACCCCAGTTCGTCCATCTAAACACTGTTGAGATGCTGGAGCAATAGATATCATTCTAAATGTGCTGTGGATGCCTTCCACTGCAGGTTGACAATGGACATTACCTGTAGTTAGCGTGCAGTGGCAACGTTTCTACAGCTCGTTTTTTTTATTTTTGTTAGCCAATTGAGAATGCTCAGTTAGTGTTCGACAAGATCAACTGCTCCGATTCGATTCGATGCTTTGGGACAGTAAAAAGAGAGCCCAACAATTGGTACCATACGTGAGACTGACCGATGAGCTGGTGCACACATGCACAGGACACACTGGAGAGACTGCACCCATTAGAAGATTGTGTGTTGATCTCACTGCTATTAGCTTGTATTTCGCTTCTCGTACTGACTGTGATGACAATCGAATAACTTGCGTTTTTTTGTCGCAGGCAATAGATCAGAGATGATGCACCCGGTATTTTGGAATACAAGCTAACAGCAGTGAGATACAACACACAATCTTCAAAATGAGCGGATCAGAATTGGGAAGAGTATGAAGCGTTGTGATTTTCGGCACTTAAACCTAGTTTGATCTCAAGTGTGTTCATCCATCCATTGTGCAGACACTTTATTCGTGGATTTCATATCACCTTCTACAGACCTTCAGCTCAGGAAACTAATGATACAGCGCACCTAGAACTTTCTAATCAATATTGTAAGGCTACCATTTCTTGGTTGATGCGTTCAGTTATCATGGATAATGTTTATCAAATCAGTGCAGGAGTATCCTTCTGCACATCGTGACAGTACATGTTAAGTATCAAACAGTGCTAATATTACCCATTTTGGCCTCTTATCAACAATCAAGTTTCAGAATATTTGAACTGTTGCTTGCATTATAGACACTATAGGATCTTTCGTACTGATCCGCAGGGTCTGGTACAGACTCTGATGTGGAGATAATCAGAGTTCTAGCTGTCCATCCAAGTGTACCTCCATGTTACTACACAAGATGCGCACTTTTACACAGCAACGGGATACTGATGTCATGGGTATCTTCTGTGGAGACATGCCAGGGGGCAAAACGAGAAACAAAAACGAAAACGATAATTAAAGAAAATTATTTTAGGATAGAGACACGGTCCATTCTATTTTTAAAGAACACAACGTGGAGAAGTTAACACATTATATGTGATATTTGAATCATGAAACAAATCTCGCTGCTTGGACTGATACCTTCTAGTGTAGCATTTTTCCCCTATTTTCTCTAAACGTTAACTCTAAGATATGAAGAGTACAAGTCAGAGTATGTAAAACTATCTTCGATCTAAAAATCAGATGCTTTTCATGTGTAAGGATTCAAGGATATGAAAAGTCATGTGAAATTTCTTCTAAATTATCCAACTAGCAGCGACATCTCATCTTCAAACGATCTATTCGCTAATGATTGGGTTTTAATTCTCTGTTTGCGTTGAGCTGCAGTATGCTCTTGCTCACAGTTCCCGAACTTATAGCCTTAGAAGTTTAAGTTGCATGGCGCATGCCACTGGTAGCATGACAACCGCAGTGATGAATACCAGACACAGAAACTCAGATCTTAAGCTGAAACTATCCACAGATCCTACGAATCATATTCTAATGCACAAACATGAAGATCATGGAACTAGAGTTTTGAACAGTACCTCAAAACACAGGGATGATGACGAGGGGTGCATGTAAATCTGGGAAGACGTACGGTCTGTCTGACTCCCTGCATGGCAGCTATGTACCCTGGCAATAGTTTTGTCAAGCTTCGCAGATGGCATACAAGGAGCCAGGCAGGTCCAATATTCCCCATTGATTTCATGAGTTGCTGAACGGTCAGTCATTTTGTTTAATTCTTAGTTGCAATATATCCCAGCCGATAATTCATGCCTGCGAACATCGACCATCCACAATGAAGAAACGACCGCATTATAAAGGTGTTAGAATTCAACAAAGAAGGAATAAGGTTCGTCGCACATGCTACATTGTGAATTTGCAGTTGACTCTAACCAGAGATAGGCAAAAAGGAAACACATTTTGAGCTGCAGCATACACTTGCTAACAGTTCACCGTAAGCATACATGTAAGGAAGAGATTTAAAGTTGTCATGTCGTACTGCGTTTAGAGAGTCCAACATTTTTATCAAATGCAAGAAACTTCCGCATGATTACATGCACAGCAAAGGAAAACAAAAAGACAAGGATAAAACCCTTCAATTTTCTCATCAGGCGAACTTCCACTGTCAAGTCAAGTCATGCCCTCATGCCCTAGAAGGCCCAAAAGTTCAACATGAAATCATTACCAAACAGAATTGAGCAACATAGACTGTTCGTAATGCGGCATGCGATTGTTTGAATTCAACGTCTGCAGCATTCTTTCGTTTCTGCCTAACCTTGAGGAGGTTTCTGCTGGTTTATCGGAAAGACACGATGCATCTCAAGTTCGTCCATCTAAAATCAGCTTAAAAATAGACACAAGACCGAGGCATCTCAACCATCACTTTACGACACCACATGAAGGTTTCAAGAATAGTGATACTGGGACGGACCTTGCAATTCTGTCTTTTTAGCTTAAGCATTTCGTGAATAACCTTGTAGATTTCAACGGCATGATCAGACTTCGAGCAAAGATGACCTACATGCTTCCTAACTCTTCGTCGTAGCACCTCACCTTTATGCCCTCGGAGATGAAAAAAACGTCAGTGACCATTTTCCTCATGTCGTACGTTCTCGAAACCCCCAACCTGGTCCGGAGTAGCGGAGACGTTGGTCCAGATAGGTTCGACCAGATCAGACATACCAGTCCACAAGCTGACTTCGTCCGGAGAGGGGATTATGCCCTCGAAACCCCCAAAAATACCTGAGTCGCACTGTATGTTTTCCGTAATACAAGTGATACAACACCCGACGCCGCAAGTCAGTGTAGAAAGTGAATGATGGCTTTGAAGATTTACACTTAATCTGCCCCAATAGTGCAAAAAGTCAGTGAAACCAAGTTGTAAAAGACTCAATTAACGATACAGGATCGGAAACGGATCTATGATTCGGAGCGTGGAGAGGAACCCTTTCAAACAAACCTAGGGTTGGGTATACTCACGAGACTTGTGAGCATCAAATTGGTTTTATGAAGCGATTCAGGAGTAGTTAGACAAAACAAGCACTCAACACCACTACGAGATAGTCCATCAGTCTATAACCGTAGATGAGTCAAGATCGTGCAACGAACGAAATTGTGCTGCAAAACCGAGCTAAACCCTGACACACAGTGCCTCTCACAAACGGTTTCCAATCGAGCTCTGAAGCCACAGCTCAACGTCATGCACAGAGCAGACACGATTCATGGCCATCTCAACTCCATCTTGCGATCACACCAACCAGCGTGAGCAACGGCCCACACTGCACTTTGGGTTGTGAACGCCAGACAGTCGGATCTTTGCGTGAGTAATATACCTTGCACTAATTTGGATTAACACACTCAAGAATGGAAACGAAATTATCAGCCACGTGTACTCCGAGACAACATTAGTGACAAATCACCTGCTACTTTAAGACCAGAAACTTCACTCCACTTCACATAACTCAACTCCACTTCAAAACCATTTCTGCAGCACGCATACCACCAGCACGTGGACATCGAAGACGGCGACAAAGCTTTCGGCCTGAACAAAGGTGAAAGGAATACCAGGACGTAGAGAGTGGAGTAACTGAAACACTACTCCCGCAGTCCTCCATCAGAAACCACGGAGCCTGCTTGAGAGTGAGAAGAGGGTGGAGGTATCCCAACCAGGGACTGATCCTGCACAAAGAGAGAGAGGAACTGGGTACCGATATCGAAGCAATTAAGAAACGAGGATTGCAAGCTATTATAAGTATAAGCTGCAGCATCAATGCCCCACGCAGCTATGTGCACGTTTTCGTCCTTACAAAGGGGGTGAAAACCTCTGGTTATGCTGCCGCCCAACTCCAGAAGTGTACGAAGCTGTGACCTTGCTGGGAGAACACTGCTGCCCAGATTGGATATGGCAGCTACTCCTTCGGATCTCTGGCTCTCACTCCCTGCAACTCCACCTTCGTTACCCTTTGCAACCCACCAATTCTTTTTAATTCTATCTCTCCATCGATCCCCACTCTTTGATTCCTTCTCTGATTGCCTGGGCTTGCAGGTGAATGCCGCTTTTTCTACACGGTGAGGAAATTGTTTTGTTTTCCATCATCACTGTCTTGCTTTCTTCTCACTCATCGAAGCTGTGGGTGATAATCGCCATGTTTTGTTTTGTTTTGTTTTTTGTTTTGTGTTATTGTTTTGATTTTTGATTAATGATTTGTGCGTGTGAGGAGACGACTGCTATGATCCACTCACTCATGGCAAGGCCACGAGGCAAAAATGATAGAAAACGACTCATTTATTGGTTTTTGTGATGGTTAAATGGAGAAGGATGCACTTCTTTTTGCGAAGATTCATTCTTAACCATGCCAAAATCATTGTAACGCTCATCTTGTTGATTCTGAAAGTGTTGAGGATTGGTTGTTTAACGTTTTGGACGCTCTTTTCGGACTATCAGATGCTGGCTCTTACGCTGCTGATTTGTTGTAGACGAGTGTATTTTTCTCTCCAAAGTATTGGATGGTCGTTTCAATTCCATGGAAATGAAATAATATAATCAAATGTGTAAATAGTTACAAACATAATACTTTGAAAATTATCTTGTTGTGAAGAAAGGTGACGAAAGGTTTTTATTATTATTATTATTATTATATATATGCAGGGGATGGGAAGAGAATTGGTGAGTTGGATGGACACATGAATCTAATTTCCGTCACCAAATTATGCATGTAATTTATAGAAATGTATATATAATTTTTATTTTTGTATTTAATTTTCTTGTAAATGTGATCAAGAGCAGAAAACGACAACTTAGATATATATATATATATATATATATATATATAGATATATAAATATATTCAATCTTTCAGGATAATAGTTAGATCTTTATGAATTTGTGGTCTGAATTTTTCTTTGCAACGCAGTATATCTTGTAAAAGATTTTCTCACCCAATTTTTGTGCTATCTATTTTCAAATAAAAAGAATCAAAATAATGTGGTATGATGGACATGAAAAGTTGTTAAAGCAATAGTTCAGCCACAATACTGCTTCCTCAAAATCAAGATTCACCACAAATTTTTTTTTATTCATAGATGCTACAGAAAAGAAATTATATAAATGCTGCTATTTACCCAAGGGTGTCCCAATGAATAGTAAAGACAATTTGCACAATGAGAGAGTTACATTAGGGATTATAAAATGGAACAGATTTTGAAGCATGTTCAATGACTTTATTGTAGAAGAAGAAATGGTTGTAAAAGAGTTACAGTGATAAACAATGGAGTTTTTTTAAAAGGATATAAAAAATAACTAAAATTAATATAAATAATCCATAATAGAAAAGTCAAGAAAATTCTTTATTCAACAAGAGAATAACCTATTTCTAATATTAGTTTTTCTCTTTTGAGGCATGCACTAACTTGCAACCAAACTGTTGAAATATTAGCTTTTAAGATGTGAAGTATGTATAAATTAATATTGTATAAAAGAAATTTATTTTCTAGGTTATTTTTGTGATAACAGTGATCATTGAATACACACATATCAATTTAAAACTTGAAAATAATTTTTTCATCCACACATTGTTGCCCTGATTGCAAGTTTTACAATATCAATTTAATCTAAAAAGAATTTCAAACTTTCATAACGTGACAAAGTTATCATGACAAATACTGAAGTAACACAAGAATAAAATAAGCTTTTTGAGAATATGATGATCAAATTTCACTTTTCATACATATTTGAAATTAAGTTACCTTAAACAAATATTGCATAAGCATATTGAAGTATTAAATTTAATATATATATATATATATATATATATACACACCATGTAGATATATTTGTATATTCCACTTGTTTACAAAATTTCGTCTACTCTGCAATATTTATTTTGCTATCTTCTTGCCTACTCAATTCATATAGATTTCCACTTCTCTTGAATTCATTTTAACTTTTTTTCTGTTTTAATTTAATTTAATCTTTTTGAAAACATTTTCCTTTACATTCCAAGACAAGTGGACAAGACATTGCCAGCTATTATTGGGGATGGATCACATGAGAGCTTTGGAAACAAGCATGAAGATTATGCACATTTGCTGCTCAATAATTTATTAGAAAATGTTAATGTGTGACAATTATGGACTCATATGAGGATATAATGAAGGAAGACAATGGGAACACCAACTTGAAGTTGCAATATTGAAATCAATTGTTTTTCATTTAGAAATAAAAAGGGACCTAAACGTTAGGATTGCATGAAATGTAGTGAAGCAAGATCCTACAATGACTTTGTCAAGATATAACTGGTCTGCAAAATACAATGTTAATCAAACCTGAGCAGCGAAAAGAAGTTTTGGTGATTTTTTAAAAAAGAATTATTGACAAAAGTTATTATAAAAAAAATAAAACTAAAAGTTTGAGGAAATGTATATACAGCTATAAAACTAGGTGCAACAAGCATGGATTTTATATTTTGTTTAAAATTTTCCACTCTATATGAAATAATATTAGTTCTTATATTTAAATTTTTTTACAAAATCCTATTATATTGTATCTATTCTGTCATTTCAATTCACACTATCAAAATCTCTTTATACATCTAATTTTAATTCTCCTCGTAAAAAATATTGATGTTTTTAGTATATATATATATATATATATATGTACATACATATATGTTTGGAATTATGACCAAATTTTTACCATAATCTATAAAATATGTTCTAAAAATTATTTAAAAATTTCAAATAATTTTTTGAACATATTTTAAAATCCTTATAATATTTATATAATACTAATAATAATTTAAGGCTATTTTTTCTTATACTTTGAATATTATAATATTATTATCAATTTAATTCAACTAAAAATCCTATTTTCTACATAAATAACTAAATAGATATGATGTTTTTTTATAGTTCTTCTACCTACTAAATAATATTTATAGATTTTAAGTAAATTTTAAATGTAGATGGAAGGGTTATGTAGATACTGGTCTCAATAAATAAACATTACTTTTTAATATTAAGAAAAAATACTAATCTATAATTGCCTCTATGACTTATTGAGACTCCATTTTTATGAATTTTTTTCTAATAAGACTCTTGTAATTTATAAATCCTTCTAAGTTCATCAAATACTCAAATAATCAAATAGACTCTTTGATCTTAATATTTTTGCATCTAAATAACTTAAAATCTTATTTTAAATAATTCTAATAATTTTCATAGATTGATGAGACTTACATTCAATAATATATTAAAAAAATTAACCACAACTATTAACTAAGGTATATGGATAAAATTTATAAGAACTCCAAAAGTAATATTTAAATTTTTAAATATAAATTATATTTTATATTATATTATTTTTTAAATATTTTTATAAATGATATATATAATTACTAAATTGATCCAAGAATACACTAAATTAATTCATCCATCATCATATATCTACAAATAAATTTTTAAACTTCTTTTTCATTGGTTGTGGATGCAATAATAGAAATCTTTATGATGATGGTTAGGATGGGTGGGCCAATTTAATGAATACCTAGGTCTCTTTAATAATTTTCTACATACATATATATAACTAAAAAAACAAAAAAAATCAACTATAATATTCATAAAGCTAAGATCCAATGTGTTTTAAATTGACATATTGTAATAATAAATCAATGTTAGGTTTATGTAGTTTTAATTTATTGATCTAAAAAAAACGATTTTTTTCAAGTTCAATAATTTTTTAGTTATTGAGATTTTATCTATTTAATAAAGTAAGATATTATTTTAATTTAATTTATATAATGCCATGGAATGGTTTAAGATCTAAGTAAATTTAAACACAACTTTACTTTAATCTTATAAAAGCAGCAATACCTTAGTTAAATAAGTTTTTTTAAATACATAGTCTTCTAAACTATTCTATGACATATAAGTTTTATTTTTATATATAACATGTCTTTTGGAACATCTTGTAAGGTGCCTAAAAAAATATGAGATACTTCTAAATTATCTTTTTAAAATTTGATCTAAGAATCTTTTTAGGCCATGTTACCAGCTTTATTTGAATTGTAGCAAAACTTTGTATTCTATTTTTTATTCTATTTTTTATTCTATTCCAATATATGTATATATATATATATATATATATATAATAAATTGAATTTTATTGAGATTATATGACTAGGCTGTGACTCAAAAATTTCTATACAATAAGATGTTTTCAGTTCAAGGCAAAGATATCTAACATTTTTTAGTCAATATATATTTTTTTGAATCTATTATAATATACTTCAAAAGATTTTACCACAAAGATAAAGTAGTTAGAACCAAAGCAATTACAAATAAATTTAATTAAAATATTTTTATATTTATTATTATTCTTTTATTCTTTTTTCTTTTTCTTCCTTTTCCTTCTTAGTCTGTAAATATTTGTTTTAATAAAAACCTCAGTTTTGCATTAAGGCATAGAACCTATTTCAAAGAAAAAGAAAGACTAATTGTTTTCCATAAACTTAAAAAATATTGATTCATTGTTGATTTATCATAATGGTTTAATTGGTAAATTAAATACTGAAATTACTTCAAAAAATTGATTTACTTCAAAATTCTTCAAGTTCTATAAAGAATAGCATGTTTTTAATAATATCACATATTTAATACAAATATTAGATGAGATACAATCATAAACTTCTTTTAAAGAACTAGTTTATATATGAATTGGAGATATGTTTTATTATTAGGACAATTGCTTTAAAAATATGAAGACCACTCAGCTGCCTTCATTACAATTTTGAGGTAGGGACTTTGGATGGAGAGCAAACACTCCATGACAGAAGATGAAATTGCACAAATGCAACTAACCCAACTCATGATTTGATGCTAAAATACAGAAGTAGCACAAAATTAGCATTTTATTTATCGATGTGAAGCCGTTGAATTGGAGAGAACCCAATTGAAAGTGCTTCAACAAATCCATTGCGGTACAATCGACAAACTGAAGACTTCCTACTAGAACCTGGAAATGAACTCGACTGTGGTACCAGCTGACGATGGAAAGGATTAAACAAACCATGAGCTCAGACATGGCTAATGGAGACCAAAGAATCCATATCGTTCACTAAGTTTTGCAGTAGTTGCGATAAATTGCTTCTCTGTCTGCTCAAGATTGCTCTGCATGTTCATGTACTTGAGCAGAACCTTGATTAACGTGCAATAGAGTATAGAAACTTTTTAATTCAATGCTATGAATGGTGGAAAATTCCATAATGTAGCAAATTTACTGTAAGCCTTGTCAACCAGGGCTTGGTATTCTTCATTAGGACAATGAACTGCTGGCCTCATTCCTAACCTCTTAATCTTAAGCAGAAACCTTAAAATCATTTTTGCACCGCTATGTACCATCCTAATAAAAGATTATTGCGAGGTCATTCCACATCGACCAGGAGGTCTGTGCGATGATCTTCTAATTGACCCTCCAAAACTAGTAGCAGATGGGGTCAGAACATGCGAGTCGAGGTTACCATTCTCAAGCCACTAGACTCCTGAAAAATCAGACATGCATTGGTACCCGAGTTCTAGTGCAACGAAGAGCTCAGTTCCACCACTAACTTCAGAACTCACAGCCCACCTCACCGATCAAACAGCAGACTTTACAAATCTGCTCCAAGAGACAAAGCTTGAACAGCAAAAAATGTTTTAACGTACGAAAGGAGTAGGAAAATGAAAGGCATAAAACAGCGTGATGAGCATTTAAATTAGCTCTCTCGCAGTGATGCAAACACCATGAGCTGCAGGTGAAGTCTGAAACTTTTTCACCAACAGAATACGCTTAACGGCAGTCAAAGAAGCTGAAAAGAATAAAACATACTCGGAATTTGAAGTGCCATTTCAGAGCAAAGCCTTCACGATGCAAATGTGATAATGAGTCCCGGAAAAATGATCCATCAATGGCCGTGGTACAGAAGTGCAGCTCGCAGTGGTGTAGGCTGAGCTGTCTACCGCCGACGACAACATTGACAAGCTGGAAACTAAGTGCAATGAAACCCTTTGTGGTTGATGTTAAGATCATCTCACTGAGAGATGAAAGTTCTCAAAGGATGTTCTTCATGGACTAACAAGTATGTGTGCTTAGATATGCCCTTATCCAATTCAGTAAACCTTAACTTCTGGTATATAATTATTCTATTTCAAAACGTGGGCATGGATAACCCATCAGATCTACAACACAGGTTTACATCTGCAGCATGTAGAACTTGTGGAGTAAAAATGAAAACACCTGACAGAACTTCCAAAATACTACATTGAACCAGTATGGTGACATATGGTACATATCTATAAGACTAGCTGTGATGCATAACTAACCAGCTGATTATTTTACCCCTTTTCTATCCCGTGAAAAGTAATCAAAACTAAAAATGGCCATTTCTAGAATGATGACTTGACAAGTTACCATGATGCTAAGTTACGCCAGAGCCATCTCGATTATAATATAGTGTGCGCCCACATTCTCATCAGCCTTGAGCTTCAGTGGTAGATCTTCTACAGCTCCCGCCGTTATCTGCCACGGCAACCGATCCACATAGCCATTCACCAATAAGATGGTGAATGTAGGAAAAGAGGGAAGACAACGACAAACACAGTCCCATCAAATCACCCTTCTTTAAATAAATGAACTAAGTTATCTGCAGTCCAATGCCACTGTCTGAGGTTTCTTACAAAACGGGTCCGTTTCTTTTAGAACGTGGACTGGAGTTATACCAGTGACTAGTGAAACATACCGAACGTATGTCACATGCAACTTAAAATTACGTCCACAATACAAATTTCAAATTTTTACATCCAAAAGCCTCCATCCCCACTATACATACCTCAACCGCATCACGAAAGTCCAGCTGCACCTTCTCACTTAAAGAAAGTTTACCCTCAATGCACACCATATAGGCTTGCCGTTTCTTAGCAAGCACGAAGTCTTGTACAACACCTGCATCGGCCTCGGATACATAAATATTGCAGTCCTGGTGGATGGGGATAACACCCTCACCAGCATCTTTCTCGCTCTCGTATCTTTTGAAATCTGTCAACACGTGCTGCAGCTTGTTGTGACGGTCGTCTTTCCTGCCCAGCCAGAGAGATTCCACGATGGTCTCATTAGCATCTAATTAATCGAAATGGAATGAGAAAGACATAACACCCTCCTGAGGTTTACATAACAAGGAAACGTACTTGAATACACGTGAACCATAATTCGGCTTGAGACCATATCTGTCAGGCTTGATCCATATTTGTAAGAAGCGCAACCTACACCAAAACCAACATGCCGTGAAGTTCATGTGCATAAAAAATCTGTTGGAAGAATGCAACATAATCAGAATTAGAATGGTGAACTTTTTAGCGAAAACAAATATATAGAACAAGAAATAGAGCACGTACAAGTCATCGCCGTTGTTCATCTCAGAATGTCTAATCCCTGTCCCCGCACTCATGTACTGAACCGAGCCACGACCCAAGGTCTCAGACGTCCCAATGCTGGTGCACACAGCAGGGCCAGAGTCAGAAATTGAGCACCTTGAGAATTTAAACAAAGCAAAAGATCCTAAAAAGATTGTTAGATTTCACCGGATGACCTCAAAGTAGGAATTGCTAGATTCATTAAATTCCGCGAAACTCGAACTTAGACAATGGAGAGTCTTTGACCCTCTTGTAAAGTACAGTAGATCCAAATGTGAGCAAGAGTTGCAACATTTAATTGTACTGAAAATCCACTCACCTGTCTCTGTGGGTCAGTTTTCCATCCACAATGTACGTGAAGATTTCCATGTCACGATGACCGTGAGTACCGAACCCTGCCTGAGGCTATCCACCAAAACAATATAATGTCAGCTCGTTTCTTCTCAACATGATTGTCACTCATTCTGGTTTCCATCGATAAGCGGTACTTAAATCCTTCCTCCTTACACATTGCAGATAAAGCATTCCAACCCAACCGCGGAACTTGGTCACATTTGAAACATTTCCACAGAACCACGATAACATACCTTGACAAGATCGTCGTTAAGAACTCGCAGAACTCCAAACTCTTGGTTTGCCGGGTTATAGTACTCTGCAAAACTGCACATGCGAAGAATACTATCATCAAACAGCACTAAATTGGTAAATGACTTGATTATTCAAAGCAGCGTCTGAAGCTATAATCCCAGAACGCCATATCAAAGATCCTTTCTAATCAAAAAAATTCACAAGCATGGAAGCTAGTAATGACGTTCTCTCACGTCCTTCATAATACAATAGAATATTGATCGTTAAAAAAACATAACAAGTCAGAAAATACAGGAAAATAATATTTTTACAATCGGAACAGGCAATGGTGACCTACATTAAACAATAGGTTGAAGATATTTCGCTAATTTTGACAATAACCAACACCGCAGCATACCTGAAATGAAAGCGGCTCTCCAACCACCATGTAGGCGTGGAAACGTGAAGACACTTCGCTGGAATGTGCCTCATCTTCCTAAAAATATCAGCAACAATTGAAAGGTTAGTTGCAGAACTATTCAGGCATTTGTAAAGCCCAAATCAAAATTCTGCGAGGGGACGCATCTAGCGTATAGAATTGCTCGTCACCCATTCGGAACACTCTAAAAGGGAAGGGAAGGGAGATAGGCAAATGTCCCTTCAAACAGAATGGACATAAGAAGAAGGCACTGTCTTACTGCGAGGGATGCAGAAGGACAGACTTCTCTGCCACTGGAGGAGTTTTCCTGGAGAGGAAAAACATGATGAACGGGTACAAAACGCAAAGCACTAAAATGAGAAAATAAGGGGTACTCTTCAGATGGAGAAAGAATGCACACATTGCGACTTCCAGGGGAGTCAAGAGGCACTCGAAATTAAGGCGATGACGCTACCGCCAGTGCAGGAATTCGCAAGCGACTACCGCTAAACCCACAAACAGTCCTCCGCGTAGAATCCTCAACCCGGAATTCAACACAGCAGAGACTTGCAACTAAAACTCAGCCCCAACACTGAAAATAATTTTACACAGCCCAATAATCTTGCTTCAAACACAGATCGAACGAGACAGTTCAGAGCAGCGAGATGAATCGATGCTAATCCTTAAAAACCACTCTGTTTTTTGAAACTGGACAGCACCCCGCAGCTTATATACTACCTGTGGATGGACAAATCCTCAATACATCAGTTAGGTATCTTCCAACGCAGTTCGCCGCACCGGATTGGGCTCATATTGGAAGCTGAGATTGAGCGCAGGCAGCTTCGGCGACGGAATCGAATCTCACAGCCCGCCCTCCTCTTCTCTTCTCTTCTCGCGGAGGTTCGTGGAACGCTGTTCCAGTGGGCTGTGGTGAATACGGCGACGGGTTCATCTCCACAGGAAGTGACTATTAATAGTTGTAGTGAGTTTGCAGAGCTGGAAGCTGCGTCGCGGGTTTCCGTTCCGGTCTCGCGGGAAGCTTGACGAATGGCCTATTCCGGCAGAGTCAGCATATTGGCAATCCAAGTCCACGTGTAAAACAGAGTTAGACGAACATTGTTCATGCCACGTAGGTAAAAAAAAAATCATTTCATACGTTTTCTCAAGTTAGGACCTGATTTTGGGCTGATTTTTCCTAGTGTAAGGCCCACTAAATAAATCTTCTCAATTTTAACCGATTAAAAGTTGTGGTCTTTTATTTTTTGCTTTGAATATAAAGACTATGTAAGATTTATTACAAAATATATGAAATTATTCTTAGAAAAATCTTACCAAAGGCTTTTATTTTTCTTTTGCATATGTATGTGATAAAAGAATAAAATTAACTTATATATATATATATATATATATATATATATATATATATATATTTTGAAAAATAGTATGGTTTTTTAAAAAAATTAAAATCTTGTAAATATTCTATTTTTATGCATTTGTATTGGTATTATAAGATCCATATTAGAATTATGAATAAATAATTGAGAAATAAGAAAATAATATTAAGACATAATGTTTGGTTAATATTTTTATTTGAATTGATTTCTAGTTTTTAAACTTAGTAAAGTAGTAATATGGAGCTTTTTTGAATTTAAAAACATCAAAATAACTTTTAAAATATTTTTATTAATAATTTTGAGATATATATCTTTACTCTATTTTATATTTTATTTTAATACATATATGTAAATTTACAAGTTGAATCAAGTGCCCTATAGGTCTTCAACTAGCAATTGAGCTATTGGTTAAATTCTATACCACTTGTATAAACAAGTAGTTCATAGAAGAATATTGCAAAGTATATTTCAATTTGATCTTCTTTCAATCATATGGCTAAAACTTTGCACTTGTATTATTAAATATTTGACATGTAACTAAATTATATGATTTGAAACACATCTAATCATTTTCATTCTTACTTCTAATATTTTTATAATTCTAAATTACTTGTAAGTAATCAGTAGATCATCATAATATAAATCTAGTTTTTTAATTTTACATAATGACATATATATTAATGTCATTAATATATATATATATATATATATATATATATATTGTTATTGTAAAGAAGCAAGTGAATTCAATTTTTTAAATTTATTCTAAATCCACTAATTACTACAATTTTGTATATAAATTTATTGACAAACCATTGCTAAAATAAATAATATTGTATAAAAATAAGAAAATTACACAAGATTCTTTCATTTTTATTGCCTTGTAATCTATTCAAATCTTACATACAAACATAGATTATAAATTGAAAAGATCAATTAAAGTAAAATTAATAGTGGTTGCAATGTTGAAATAATTAGCATTTGATATAGATATTTATAATATATCTTCTTAATATGGTATTAAAAAAATTAAATTGATCTTATGTAGCTAATTTATTAAAAATGCATAATCATCAAAGAATAAGTAATTTTTAAAGTTTATTAGTAGTCTTAAAGATAAAATACTTTTAAATAAAATTAATAATTTTAAAGATCTAATCAATGTTATTATTTTGGCCCTAGGTGGTACACATAATATTAAAAAAAAATTACATGACAAAAATATATATGACAAAAACTTATATGACAAGACATTCTATAATTATTGGAATAAAAGTTACAAATATGATTATGCAATTAAAAATAGATTATAGATTTTGAAATTTTTACATCTTATGTACAACTGAAGTGATTTTGTTTCATTGGAGTTCTCTCCTTGATTAAAAATTTTCATTTAATTAGAAAGATACTTGGTCCTACTCCCATTCATGTAAAGATGTCATGTTCATTTTGATTATATGGCACAAGGGTGTAGTGGTTAAGACTTGGAAGAGAAAAATTAGCCCCAATATTAATATTTATTGTACTATATATTAGCTCCAAATACTTGATTCCATTCTCTATTGGTTTTGGGATTGTCATCAAGTCCATTTCATTTGGAATTGGACTATTTTTTATTTTTTATTTTATTTATTTTTTCAATACAAATCAACATCCAATTTCTAGAATAAGAGTCTTTTGAAATCCTTTATATGACAACAAGATATTTTTACAAGATCTCTTTTCTTTAGATTCAGATATTTTCTTTAAACTTGGTCCTTGTTAAAAGAAACTTTACTTATAGACTACTTAGATTTAAAGAAATAAGTTTGTTTTTTTAAAATGAAGTAGGGAATATACTTCATACTAGAAGTATAGTTTGGTAGGGTCTTATCAAATACAAAAAAAATTATTAGAAATTTGTTAAAAAAAAAATTAACAAAACACTCGCAACATAAGTCTTCTATACTCAAGAATTGAAATAGCTTCTTGATGACTAAACATCTACTTGGTTCCAGATATGACAAGGTTATTAATTAAAATTCTAAAATAATGCAATGTAGTGTGAATATACATGAAAGTATAAATGAACTTGCTTTAAAAGTTGTTTCAAGTTCTTGGTACTCTTAGCATTACCTTTGGATATACAACAACTCAGAAAATTGTTTCAATGTTGACATATTTTGGAAAGAATGGTGTATTACAAATAAATTGTAGTGAATAATAACACATGGTTTGTATAGAAAATAAAGTATTGTTTTACAACTATCAAATGAATCTAAGTTGAAAAGAATCAATTAAGTAATTGTAGAGCTATGACCAATTTAATTTGGAATAATATTGAAACATTTTTTTTGAGCATGTTATCCAATTATATATCAATATTTTGTAGGACCTCTTTTGGCCTTGATAACTACTTTCAACTTCCTAAGCATACTTTCTATTAACTTTTGGTACAAAACTGCTTCAATATTATTCTATTCCGTAGCTATTCTTTCCCATAATTCCAAAATTCCTTTTGGTTTTATCTTCCAAGTGTTGAGCTAGCATTTGAGGTACTCCGAAAGATGTATAGTAAGATTAAGATCAAGAAACTAAGCAGGCCAATATCTTACTTTAATCCCATGATGATTAATCTACTTCTTGTCACGGCCATAATCATGTAAGCTAATAATTACATATACAAATAGGAAGAAGTAAGTAAAAGTAGGTAAAAGTAAGTTAATTCTATAATATTTAATATGGAAGCTTCTTAGAAGCTCCTTAGACGCTGCTTTGACTTCATAGGTGTCTTTAATTGACTTTTTGGATTAGAAACGTGGTCAACAAGTTGGCCATGTGCCACACATGTTGTTAGCTTGAAGATCAAGCTAACTATGTCGCCCACACGTAGAAAAACTTGCCTTGTAAGTCAAGGCATGTGTCCTACAACGTCAACACATATTGGAGGTCCTATAGAACGTTGCCACGTAGTCCCTAGTTAGATAGTATATATAGAGACAAGAGTAAAGGCTTCTTCACTCTTGTCAACTCCTTTCTTGCTTCTAGTCTAGTTTCAAGGGTCTCTAGTTTTCTTGTCTTTTGGCAATAGCCATTCCAGTTTCTCTTTCAATATATATACTTGTTTATATATATTTTGTTACCTTTCTTTGAGTGAAGGCTCACTTGTCTGAATTGTTTTTTCATCGAGTTCTTGTCCTTGATAGATTGACAAGAGTACACCTACAATATCAGAGCTTTGTCTAATCTTGATTAAGAGTGGATTACCTTTTTTTCTTGATAAGATATAAGCATATTAGAAGTTGCGGATTACCCTCTTCTAAACTGATATTGTCTTTAGTATTTTCTTTGTCTGCAAGTCCTCTCTTCTATTTGTCTTGAGCGATATTAGACATCTTCTCTCTTCTAAATGTTATCATGGCAGAACTTCTTGAAATGAAGAGTGCAATGGCACAAATGCAAGAGCAATTGAGGGAGTTAATGCTTGCGATGCATCAACTCAATTTACCAACACAAGGAGCAACAAAATTGGCAGGAAGTGAAGATATAGAAATGGTTGGAGCTCCTTCAACATCTGCACCAAATCATGTCCTTTTTCCTATGGTGGAACGCCCTTCAAATGTTACAGAACCAAGAATTGCCCTACCCGAGAAGTTTGATGGCACTAAATCTAAGTTTTGAGGATTTATCAATTAAGTGCAACTTGTGATTGAACTTCAACCCCAAAGCTATCCAACTCTAGGATCACAAGTTAGATTCATTGGTATGCTTCTTTCAGATTCGGCATTATCGTGGTTTTCATCTTTTTTTGAACGACGAGATCCAATATTGGATAATCTAGAGGCTTTTTTGGCTGAGTTTCGATCCATGTATGGAGAACATGATGCAATTCGTGTTTCAACCAATAAGATCCGTATTTTACGACAAGGCAATCGATCAGTAACGTTATATGCTTCACAATTTCAATAACTTGCAACTGATATCAAGTGAGATGATGCTGCACTTATTAGCCAATTTTTCTACGGATTACAATATGAGGTAAAAAAATTAATGCTCAACTTACCTGATCCTCAAACATTCAGTCAAACAATTGACTTTGTTGTGAAGTATGATAATCGCTTTTTTGAATTCTGATCTGAGAACCGTACAAGTGGACCTCAACGTTACTATAATTCAATGGCAACACCAACATCTCTTCAACACATACATTCGGAAGTAGAGGACATGCAAATTGATGCAGTACGTTTCAAACCTCTTAATGAGCAAGAAAAGACTCATCGTTGTGAAGAAGGATTATGTTTATATTGTGGAGAATCAAAGCACACTGCTCAGCATTGTCCAAAGAAAC